TTTGTATACAGTGGATGTATATTGTAACTGTAATTAAGTTAGATGTTTACTGAACTTTTCATGTAATGCCTGATCTAGTGTTGATTGACTGTATATTGATATTTTTTTTTCCAGATCAGGCCTATGCTACACAGAGGTTCCTCTCAGCTGTGGGTGAATACCATGTTGAAGAAGGAGGTACGTACAAATACTGATTTTAGAACTTTTTACATTTTAGTTAAATACATGTCCAAATTTAGTATTTACATTTAATTTTCTTTATATTCCTAAGTCTGTTAATATATTTATACAATAATCTTTTTACCTGCGTTGCAGAAGAGGACTTCAACCACAATGCTACCTTACTCTTAATTGAATGCATCCGTGATAGATTTGACAAGTTCACGTCATGCAGGCAGGAAAGAAATCAAGTGTACAGGGAGATCCAAGAAGAGTTTAGATCATATGGGTATAACTTATCAATTGAAAAGATACGGAGCAAGTGGAATAATCTTGTTACAACATACAAGAGAATTAAAGAGAGGCACAAGGCAGGGCTTGCTGGAAAAAGAGTTTGGGACTATTTCCAGGTAAAGTTATCTCCCTTATTATGATGTATAATCTTTGAAGATGGCTGTAAGGGTTGCTTTTTGCCACTATATTAATGAAAAGTCATAGGGTACCAGTTTTGTTTAAAATGGTTACTAAGCTTTAACTTTCTTTCATTTAGATAAGTAATATTAAGGCATTATAATGTTTTGTAAATATATATATGCTTTTATTTTATAGTGAACTAATATATTTTTCCAGAAACAATACATGAATTACTCATTGAATGTTGTATAATTCTTTTAAATACAACTGCTACTATATTTGTTCTTTGGTAAAAAAAAAAAAAAAAAAAAAAAAAAAAAAAAAAAAAAAAATATATATATATATATATATATATATATATATATATATATATATATATATATATATATATATATATATACACATATATATATATATATATACTACCTTTTTCAAAGAGTCTACCATGATTGCTTTTTTTTACTTCTTTACCATATATTTATTTCATTACTGTTATTATAATGAATTTTTGCAGCCCTTAGATGAGCTCCTCAGCCCCACTTACGAAGCCTCAGGACCAGCTGGACTGTCACTCCTCACCGGAAAGTTGGAAAAGAATGAGCAACAATCATCTGGCTCAAACACTTTCCAAAAAATCTCTTTATCTCCAGAACCCTCCTTTTCACCTCCGCTTGCCTGCTCACCTGTGACACACACAACAATCTCAATTCCCTCTACATCTAGTACGCAAGAATTGAAGAGGAAGCATTCAGATTCAATGCTGGGTCAAGAACAGATTGCAGACCGAGGGGAAAAGAGACAAGAGATGATGGAGCAATATTTTCACCAAATGAAAGAGAAGGACGTTAAAGAAGATGAATATAAGAGAAGAAAAGAGAAGAGGGACAGGATGAAAGTGAGAGCTTTACAAAAAATAGGAAAAGAATTAGAAATAATTGCCAAAACACAACTAGATCTTTTAAAGAAACAAGACCTTATTCTTGAAGTATTACAAAAAGGTAGTAAATGATGTTTATTTATGTAGTAAACATTTCATTTAAAAATATTTTTTATAACATGGAAATGTTATACAAAAGTGCCAAAGCCTATATATTGGTTAATAGTGGAAGTATTTTGGTGAAAAATATATTCTGATATTTTGTAAACAGATACTGCAGCTACAAGTGTAACCACTCACTGTTATAATAATAAATACAATTTATAAATATAATTCACTTTTAAAATATCAAATACCATCAACTCCATTATTAATAATATAACTCAATTTGCTTTTATCATTATTATAACAGATGAAATATATATTGACAAGAAAAGTATCCCAGAAAGCCAGGAAGATCATTATTCTTTTCAGTGAAGTGAAATTCTTATATATTATAATAGCTGCTACATCTTTGCAAAGTTACAATAATGCAGTTATTTACACCTCTACATTTTACAGAAGTAATAATAATTTTGTGTTTGATATACTACCATTATTTTCTGTGCCCAAAAATAATTTGACTTTATGTTGAATAAATCTCTATTGTCTTGACATATCAAAGAATTATGATTTCCACTTTTACACATAATTCCTAATGAAACCTTCCTTAACCCATTCGCCGCGGTTGGCAAGAATAGATGCCATACCCACTTTGATACACGTTTATTTATATTATTTACACCTAGGTGGCTCTACAAGTTCTTAATCACCAAATAGCCAGTTATCAAGAACTACCTATTTCACCTGTTTAGCCTTTTCCTTCACTTTCGGAAAGGTTTTTTTGTATCATCTTATTGTCAAAAATATTCTAATGACAATTGAATCATCATAACATCAGTAACAATAATAACAGCATCGAAAGCAATGATATTAATTTTCCCGCCAATTCAATGAATGGGAAAATCAGGGTCGGTAACTAGGGCCTACTGATAGACTCCTTGCCGGCTGAGTACATGTGGAGCCATCTGTAGGTAGCAAAATTCACCAAAACCAACAGGGGACAGAACATAAATCCGTGGCGAATGGGTTAAGAAGAATCATTGATAGAAGAATGAAAAATATGTAATAAATACTGACAAAAATCATTGTGCAGAAGAGACCCCATATATATTTTGCACTTAATTCCAATATTGTATTGATTGTTCCCTATAAAAATGCTTTAGGATATATCTGGAGATTAAAAATATATAACATTGAGTTTTTTATCTCTAACTACTGAAAGATACATGTAAGAATTACTGAGAGATGACTATCTGAAAATCCAGATATTGAATATAATGAAAGAAATATTTGCTTTTCTTGAGAAAATATAATTGTCATTACTAAAAATTTGATGAAAAAAATATTTTGATCTCTGAGAAGATAATAATGATTAGCTGACTGGGAAAGTAAGAAAAAATGAAAGAAAACAAATGAAAGAAGAAAAAAAAATGCATTTTCATATTTCACTTTTTATTGCCAAGCACTATGCAGTACAAATATAGAATAAATGTATAAATATATAACTTGGAAACTGGAGAATTACATAAATGAGGCAGCAATTGCATTACGTTTTGCTTCTCCTGCAAGGTTTATCTGGTAGTCACTGCAAGGTCTCCGTGGGGGGAAAGGAAGATCTTCTTCTTCAATATTTACAGGTTCTGTGTCAGTATTCTCTAGACACATATTATGAAGAATGCAGCAAGCTTTGATAGCAACACTGCACTGTGCAAGGTGCTGCATCAGTAATAATCTCAGACGTCTAAATCTACCTTTTAGTAAGCCTATGGCTTTAGATATTACCATGAAACCAGAAAAATGCTTACCATTATAAAGTCTTTCCTTTCCCGTCTGGTATCCTGTTTCATCAAAAGGGGTCATAACAGTCTCAGACAAGGGGAAACCAGCATCTGCTAGGATGTGGTAACAATAAACTTTGTCACTCAAGCGATACTCCAGTGGTAAGAGAGACTGTGGATCATCTTGAAAGGCTTCATACAGTTCACTTCTTCTAAAAACATCAGCATCATCAAAGGTTCCTGGATGACCTACATTTACATATGTAAACCTACACTCATGATCACACACTGCTAGAAGTGTAGTACAGTAAACATTCTTTTCATTCATATATGCCTCAGGTTCTTCAACATCCTTAGGTTTATTGATAGAAATCTGACATGCATCTATGGCTCCCAAAGTGCCTGGGAAGCCTGCATTCTCGAAACCTCTGACAGTTTTCCCTATAGAGCTACCACTTGGCCAAGATATCATGTGCTCTAAATTTGCAGACACAAGAGTGCAAAAGTGATGAAGAGAGGTACAGATCACAGATTTACTTGTTTTGAATCTTTCTGCAATTACACGATATGACTCCTGACTGGCCAAAACCCAAAGACTTGCTAGGACGACATTTTCCAAGGGAAGTTTTGATCCTCTTTCATAATGGTAGTGTGGTTGTAAGTCAGTCAATAAATCCTGTGAGATGAGAATAAATTGCATGCATAAGTAATGGAATATTAACGTAAATCTGATGGGCACGGCATGTACATACATGCCATGCCCACTGTGAGTCAATTACAAGTAATGCCTATCTTGCCTGTTTACCCTTTTCCTTGACTGAAAAAAGAATGAAAGAAAGAAAATAAGAAAGAAAGAAAGAAAATAAGAAAAAAAGAAAGAGAAAAAAGAAAAACGAAAAGAAAAAAAAGAAAAAAGAGAAGAAAAGAAAAGAAAAAAAGAAAAAAGAGAAGAAAAGAAAAGAAAAAGAAGAAGAAAGAAAAACGAAAAGAAAAAAAAGGAAAAAAGAGAAGAAAAGAAAAGAAAAAAGAGAAGAAAAGAAAAGAGAGAGAGAGAGAAAAGTTTTTCTGTCGATTCAAGGAAAGGTGAGATCAGGTAAGGTCACAAGGTCTACTAATTGACTCCTTTGTGGCTGAGCACTAGCAGAGCCATCTATGTGCAGAGACAAAAAAAAGAGAGAAAAAAAAGAAGAAGAAGAAAAAAAAATATATATATAATAATAATAATAATAATAATGATAATAATAACAATAATAACAATAATAATAATAATGATAATAATAACAATAATAATAATAATAATAACAATAATAATAATAATAATAATAATAATAATAACAATAATAATAATAATAATAATCCAGTCAATCAGACATTAGAATATATTATTACATCGTTCCCTGAGGCAAAACACCATACTTATTACTTATTTTCATTAATCCATTACAATATGTCTACCTTGCAAAATAAATATATCTTGTTAACTAATTCTATACCACAGATTCAGGTGTATGTATTTAGTCTGATCAATACATTCTGAGTTTATGGTGATTTATTCTTCCATAGATAAAACTCCTCTACTCTATTTAATATAGGCTCCATCCTTTCATCCTTGCTTAAGAAAAACAACAAAAAAACATACCTCTACTTGTGATCGAGTCATGCCAAAGTGTGAACGGAAATCATTCAAATCATAAAAAGCCAACATGCCACCCTTTTGTAGATAATCTTCTTGGCTGCGACCACCTCTGAAATTTCACAAATACAATATTAATGTTTGTTACCTAATTATTATTTAGGTCTCTCTCTCTCTCTCTCTCTCTCTCTCTCTCTCTCTCTCTCTCTCTCTCTCTCTCTCTCTCTCTCTCTCTCTCTCTCACTCTCTCACTCTCTCACTCTCTCACTCTCTCACTCTCTCACTCTCTCACTCTCTCACTCTCTCACTCTCTCACTCACTCTCTCACTCACTCTCTCTCACTCTCTCTCACTCTCTCTCTCACTCTCTCTCTCACTCTCTCTCTCACTCTCTCTCTCACTCACTCTTTCACTCACTCTTTCACTCTCTTTTTCACTCTCTTTTTCACTCTCTTTTTCACTCTCTCTCTCAACTCTTTTTCACTCTCTTTTTCACTCTCTCTCTCAACTCTTTCTTACTCTCTTTCTCACTCTCTCTCTCAACTCTTTCTTACTCTCTTTCTCACTCTCTCCACACTTTTTCTCTCTGTTTCTCCACACACTCTCTGTCTCTCTTCACACACTCTCTCCCTCTCCACACACACTCTCTCTCTCTCTCTTCACACACTCTCCCTGTCACTCTTCACACACTCGCTCTCTCTCTCCGCACACACTCCCTCTCTCCCTCTCCACATACACTCTCTTTCCCTCTCCACACACTCTCTCTCTCCCTCTCCACACACTCTCTCTCTCACTCTCCACACACTCTCTCTCTGTCTCTGTCTCCACTCTCTCTCTCTCTCTCTTTCCACACATTCACACTCTCCCTCTCTCTCTTTCTCTGTCTCTCTTCACACACACTCTCTCTCCTTCTCTTTCTCTGCCTCTCTCCACACATTCACTCTCTCTCTCTCTTTCTCTTTCCCTCTCCCTCATCATCTCCCTCTCTATCTCAGACTTTCACATATAGTAAGTGAGTGATCACAGACAGAAAAACTAAAGTCATGTTAAGTTTATGAGCTGAAAACAAGGGAGAGGGAATCAAACAAAAAAAGTAAGCAAGCAAGTGAGCACATGAGTGGGAGAGAATGAGACTGAGAGATAATATGGGGAGGAAAGAAGACAAGAAGAACATGGGACAGAGGAAGGGATAAGAGAAGGACATGGGAAAGAGAGAAAAAGTAAAGCACTGACTGACCATACTTCATACATAAAAATATCTGAGAAAAAATGTATGTACAGCATATGTGACAGCGACTTTGAAATATACAAAACTTGGAGGTATACATACTTTTTACGCTTCTTGTTTACTGGCTCTCCTGTTTTTATTACTATTGGAAGAACATCTTTGAGATGTACTTCCACATGATTTCTTTGCTGACTTACTGACCTGTCACAGAAAAAAAAAAAAAAAAAAAATCTTCAAGTACTGGTTGATACTGCACTGGTGTATAGTATCACAATATATAAATCTTATAATCACATTAATAATATAATTAAGAATCACTCAGAAAGATATTTCTTTTCTACTGACACCCCTCACATTCTTCTGACATTTTGTCTTTTATAGGGAATAAACAAAATAATTTCACATATATACAAAATTTTGAAGTGAGAGATGGCAGGAGGTATTGATTAAGCCCAGCATAGTGTGATACTTTTTCAAATCTTAGACATAATAATCTATCTAAACGAGGCCTATTCTATAAAAGAATTTTCAATTGTCTTTGTAGCTTTATAAACTACCTTCAGATTCTGAGGTTATTCAAAGTTAACCCATTGCTGAAGGGCATGCCATGCCATGCCCACTGATTACTTGTTGGATTGTTTTTATACACGGATGGCTACACTTGTACTAAATCACCAATGAGCCAGTTACGAGTACCGCCTGTCTCGCCTGTTCACCCTTTTCTTTGATTTACAAAATATTTTACGTTATCTTATTTTGCTGTTACTAATGTTAAAAAACATTATAAAAATGATAATGTTTATAATAAAAACAACACCATCTATAATCATGGCATTAGTGAAAAATACGTTTTTTCCCGCCATTTCAAATCAGGTGCTAGCAAAACCATCTATCGGCAGACATTTCACAAAAAAAATATAGAAAATAGGCACAGCATTTTCCCCATTTTTTGTTCATTTTCCCCGGTGGCAATGGGTTAACACATAAACTAATAATTTGTTCTTAGAGTGATTTTCTTAACCAGTCCTAAACTGAAAATCAGTCATAAATTTTCTGAATGTAAAATTTCAATCAGAGGGACTAGGAAAAGGGCTCCATCAGTAGCTCAAATGGCAAGAATCTTAACTGATATAGGTTTGTTCTAACTTACTTATATACTAATTATAATATACTCTGAAATATGGCTAAGGCTGAATCATCCTTGCTGACATGAAACTAAGAAAAAAAGAGAGAGAGAGAGAAAAAAAGTTTTGGTTTCTTCTAATTTTTCCTGGGAAAGCTGTAGTTTAGTGAAAACTGAATTTGCTTGTGAATTCAAAGGCACCTTGTCAAAATAACTTGCCTCCTGCACCTCTTGTTCATCCTACATCCTTACATTTTCAAATATAGAGATATTAATAAATTTACATTTATTTTGTTAAAGGCTGTGAATTAAACAGTTTTCATGTTTTGCATACAAAATACTATATACTTTATACATTTTGTACAAATTAAGATATAATTAAACCAAAGCAATAAGAAAGGTAATACTCATATAAACTTTAGTATATGAAAATAGCATAGCCCAAAAAATGCTAATGAATCTAAATTTTAGAAAGCTTATAATTTTGGATACATACAAACATCACAAAATTCGCAGCATATGGAATAGACAGGATGATGAAATCCAGGAAACAGGATAAATGGGGTCAAATTTGGCTGTGATCACATAACTTTGGCACTTTGGAAACATATTCTGGCAATATTGAGCTAGATCATAATTTGCTGACAAATTTCCAAGGAAGTTTCTCAATTATATACCTAATGCTTACGGTCATGATCATGGTGGTGAAAAATGTGTCCTGTTTTTTGTTATTCATTCAGAACTAGTCTGTGTTGAAGATACTAAAAATTCTGGTATTGGTGGATTATCTATGATATATATACAACTCTTAGTTTGGAGAAACCACCTACAACATAATGTCAATGCTCTAGATGGTTTCCAGTTACTGCCAATTGGGCAGTAACTGGAATTGTTCACAATCAAGTTATGTTGAAGGACTTGTTGTCTATTGGCACCCTGGCTAGAGCCAACACATCTTTACCACATATATTTTGGTAAGATTAAACTTGTAAACCTCCCAATCCAAGCCCCAAGATCCTGGCAAGATAAAGCTTGTAGATTTCCCTGTGAATTTATAGTCAACTAAGGAAGGTTTCCTTGTCTTTATCAAAGTGCACATGTGTGTGAGGCCATGACATTTGCTAAACCCTTTATATCTGGAAAGGCATTTATGATAATTGAGGTAAGTGTAGGTAGTAACATGTTTTACACTTAATATTTATGACGTTCATACCATAATCATTAACCTATCATATGTCATGCCTTCCCCAGTTCGTACAGATGACGTGCTGCTTATGAATAAGAACACCCTTATTTCCACCTGTGAACACTATAATATTCGGAAATGATCTATGACTGACAATACTAAGACTTACGATTTGTGAACTTCTTGTCTGTGTAGCATCTCACGGGCATTATCCACGGAATCTAACTCTTCGCCGAGGATCAAAGCGAAGAAAGACTCGTATTCTTGATCTAACGGCATTTTGGCACCACAAAAGACACCTTCCTTGGGGGAAAAACACTGAAACTTTGATTGATTCTTCTTCTTCTTCTTCTTTTAGAGGGTTTTAGACTTTTGAAGTCTATATTCCCTTGGTTCTTCTTTGTTGATTGAAGTTCTTTATATTATATCTATTATTTTTGATCTTTGTAGGAAGATCTTGAAGTGTCTTAATATATAGTATTTCTTAGCTGGTGAATATTCTGCGCCTGTGATTAAAAGAGACATATTTGGATTAATTATTTTTATTCTTTTTAAAGATTCAAATAGTTTTTTTTTCGGTGAGAATTGAATCTTTTGGGCATTGGAGTGTTAGGTGTTCTATGGTTTCTTCTTCATGTTGGCACCATCTGCATGTTGGGTCTGTCTCCATTTTTATTTTATGTAGATGTTGTTTTAGTCTTGTGTGTTTTGTTTTTATATATGATAAACAAACATCTAGTTTTCTGTTTTTTTGATCTTGTACAATGATTAGGTTTGTTATCTTTGATGAAATAGTTTTTTGTGTTTAATATTTCTGTTAGCTTTTCTTCCCATGTTTGTCTGTTTTTGTTTTTTATTTCTTTTATTACATTATTAATGTCTTTTGTTATGGCAATAGGATTTGTTATTTCATGTGCTTTTTTTGCTGCTTGATCTACTATTTCATGCCGTTATGTGATGGGATCTATTGTATTTAGATGTTCTGTTTCTGTTTTGATAATGTGTGTATTGTTTGTTGTATTTTGTAAGTGATATGTTTGTGATTTCTGGGTCTGTGATTTACTATCAATTGTAATGCTGAATGTGAATCTGTGAAGATTACTGAGTTTGATATTTCATTGTTTTAAATATATTGCAGTCCCTGTTTTATTGCAAATAACTCTGCTTCAGTGATATTTATATTTTTTGGTAGCTTCCAGATTGTAGTAATATTTATTTTGAATATATATTCCTGCTGAAACTGATTCTGGTTCCTTTATTTTTGAACCATCTGTGAAGATTTTTTGCTGTTCTCTATATGTTATATTTTCTAACATTAGAAATTGTTTTTTAATTATTTGTTCTGGTAGGTCTTTTGGTTTGTTATTTATGAACTGAGTTTCTACATGTTGTGAGATATCATACCATGGTGGTACTGGGGTTATATTTTGTACTATATTAGTTGTTATATTGAGTTTTAATTCTTTACAGGTTTCTAATGCCCTGTAGATTAATAATCTTTTATCTTTCCTTGGATTATATTCATTGATATTCTTTATTACTATTTGTTTTAATGGTGTTTTATTTGGTTTCTCTAGTATTTTTGCAAGTTGTATACATTCTATTTTTTTTTTCTTATCTCTATTGGAATTATGTTGGTTAATGCATGAAGAGATACTATTGGGGTGGATCTAAAACAACCCGTTGCTATCCTTAATGCTAAATTTTGTACTGTTTCTAGTTTTTTTAATTCTGTGTTTTTTACATTTCCATATTCTATCTTAGGTTTGATATATATATTGTAGAATTTTAGTAATGTTTCTTTATTAGCACCCCATGTGTATGAAGATAGTTTTTTCATAATATCTTTTCTTTTTAAAGATTTCATCTTTATATTTTCAATGAGTTCTCTCCAATTTAATCTTGGTGCATCAAATCTTAATCCTAAGATATCATGTTTATTTGTAAAGTCCATTTCTTTGTCATCTATTTTTATGTTAGGTATATTCCTTATTTTTCTATGTGTAAAACACATTATTTTGCTTTTAGTTAAATTTATCTTTAGATCCCATGTGGTAGCCCATTCTTTAAGATGTTTTAATGCTCTCTCTAGAATATTTGTTGCTTCTGTCAGATCTTTATTTGTGGTTATTAAGGTAATATCATTTAGATCTATGTTGTTTGGGAGTTTTAATATTCTCTCTCTCTCTTCATCTTTTAGTATTTTCTTGGGGTCTTATTTACTGCATTTTCGTATTCTTTTTTGAATAGTGCTAGTTTTTTTGGCATTTCCGATACTGGGAGGTTATTCTCTATTAGTGGAAATTTTGTTATAACTGTTTTACCTGTTATTTTTTTAAAGAAATTCCTTTTTTTTTTTTTGAGGAGTTTTGAAATCTAATGTGATACAAAAATTTTCCCATGATTCTCTTTTCTTTCTTTCCATTATTTGTCTTGTTTTTATTATCAATATTTTATAATCTGTTTGATTTTCTTTATTCGTTTTTTTTTCCTCCATTTATTAAATGCTCTATTTCTAAGTTTTATTATTTCATTGCATCTCTCATTCCACCATGGTTTATTCACTTTGTTTTTATTAATATTCTTATCGAATTTAAAACATTGTAATCCTATTTTCCTTAAAAGATCTATGATTTTCTATATCTTTGTCTATCAATTTTCTCTGAAATTTATCCCAACCCTCTTCTGTGTAGATCCATTTTTTTTCTTTGGAATGAGTATCTTTCATTAATTTACTATCTTTTATAATTATTGGAAGATGGTCACTTCCTAGATTTGGGCCTGTTTCTATTTCTAAATGGGTTAGCGATGGTGTTGCTAATACCAGGTCTATTGTTCTTTCTTTTGCACTTTGAGGATCAATTCTTGTTGTTAAGCCTGGTGGTGTTAATATTATTATATTATTTTGGTTAGTGATTTCAAAAATACTTTTTCCAGTTTTGTTTGCCAATTTTGCTTTTAATTTTGGATTCCAACTAGTATGGTGTGCGTTGAAATCTCCAATGATTATTTTTGGGTCTTCAATTTGTTTTATATAATACTCTAGTTCTTCTGTTTTTAGATTGTTGCAAGGATTATGCATCAATAGAACAATGAGCCATTTGTTTTTATAATTGATCTTTATTCCTATTATTTCTATTCTATTGCTGCATCTATCATTTAATGTTATGGATTTAAATTGTATGTCATTTTTAATACAAAAAGCTAAGCCTCCTCCTATTTGATCTACCCTATCTTTCCTGATTACTTGGTAATTTTGCAAGTTAAATTTATCTTTACATTTTAGCCATTTTTCGCAAATTCCTATTATATCCAGCTGTTCTTTGTTTAACAAGTAATTTAATTCTGTCTTTTTATTCTGAATTCATCTTATATTCCACAAGATTATTTTATTCATTAAAGTGTTTGATCAAGTTTTTAACTATTGGCATTATTTCTTTAATGGCATCTGTGATTATTTCTATAATTGATTTTTCTGAATTCATATTGGTTAGTACATTTGTAATTATGTTGGCCATTTCTTTTATTGTTTCTATCTATGAGAAATCTTTTGTTTTTGTTTGGTTTTCATTTTGTGTTTTCATTTCTTTAATTGGGGTTGGTAATGTCCATGCTACAGGAGAATCATTTTGGGATGAGGGTTTAGTGGGTGATTGGTTTGGGTTGTTTTGTTTTTCCCTTGAGTATTCTTTATTTGTTTGTTTTGTTTTTTTCTGGTGTGTGTGTTGTGTCATTTTGTTTGTTGTTTGTGTTTTGTGTCTTTGTTCTTTTGGGAGTTCTTTGTTCCAGATTTAGACTCTGAGATTGGTTTAATGTTTGTGCATATGTTATTGGTGTAGCCTGTTCTTTTGTTTGTGAGTTTGTTTTCTTTGTGACTTGTTGTTTGTTTACATTATTTGTTGTGATCTGTTTATTTACTGGTGCAAATGGAATGGTTTCATTTACAAATTCCATATGTATTGGTTTTAGTTCTTGGAACTGTTTCTAAGTTGTTTGGTGTTATGTTTTTGATGTTTATTTTTTTGTGCCTATCTGTGTATTTTGCACATGTTTGTGTTTGGTGTATGATTTTCCTGGCAATAGAAGCAAAATTCAGTATTTGTACAATCCTTATAACTATGGTCAAATTGGCTACATTTACTACAAAGTTTTTTGTTTTTGCAAGTCATTATCCCATGACCATATCTGAGACAATTATAACATTTTGGAATTGGGAAAATATACTGATTCACAGTGTATGAGGTATGCCCTACTGCAACTTTTTCTGGTAGGGGACCTTTAAAAGTTATTCTCAAGGACTTTGTTTCTGTCCATTTGTTTTCATTATCTTTCTCTTAATTTATTCTTTTAATTCTTATTATCTCTATAATTTCAGAGTTTTTTCCACTGATTTTTCTTATTTTTTCTTTTATTTTCTCAGGGCTTAGGTCAGTCTCTACTGGGAAAAATGGTTCCGTAAGAACAGCCTATGTTCTTACTGGAGGCTGGTTGTTTGCAAAAAAATTTCCATGGATTCGGTTAATTTTATGGGATTGTTGAAATTCAATGTTTTTGTTTCACCAGCTAAGCTTATAATGATAACATTAGGGTTATCTTGCCTATTTACTGTTGGGTCTTCGGATGTGGTCGGTTGAGCTTCCGTGCTGTTCCTGCCGGTTTCGGGTTTTCTTGGATGCTTGGGATTTGGGTCTTGTTCGCTGTCACTATTTTCCCTCGGTCTTCTATTTGACTGGGAATCATAAATCATTTCATTTTGGGATCCAGGCTTTTCTCCTGGTTCTGGATTAAGTTCAGTGTCCATTAAAATTCTTATGTTCACTGCACTCAAAATTCAAAGTTGTTTGGATATTCACTCCGTGAAGGTTCGGACGGTTCTTATTTACATTGTTTACGCTAAGTCTACCCATGTTGAGCGGTTGCGTTACTACGACATAAACAGGTTTACAATAGAAAATGTAAAATCTTAAGGGGTAGACTCTGTTTTTTTTTTTTTTAAGATTGCAGTAGCAATGAGAGAAAACAAAGAGAGTATTTTCTTTTTTGGAGACTAGTTAAAGAATTGACCTACCGGCCCCCAATGGCAAAAATGCTTGCCACATCTACTGTAATTTTAGCTTATCAATTACCTTTATACAAAGATGTCTCTGCAAGTGCTTTGTCATCTAGGAGTCAATTATTATCCTAAATGATAATTATAATATCGAAAACATCAATATCATTAGAAAAAATCAGGGAGTGGGAAAATCGGTCATTCGGGCTTACTCATTGACTTAGAAGATTAGGAAATAGACGGTAGAAACAAATGACAGCACCCGAAAAACAGAACAAATAATATATATATATATATATATAATATATATATATATATATATATATATATATATATATATATATAATCTATATACGTGTGTGGGTGTGTGTGTGTGTGTGTGTGTGTGTGTGGCAGGTTTTTATTTTTTTTTTTTTTTTTTTTCTTTTTTTTTTTTTTTCTGTGGTGTGTTGTTGTGTGTGTGTGTGTGTGTGTGTGTATGTGTGTGTGTTAGAAAAATTTCACAAAAAGTATAAAAATTGAGCACAGCATTTTCTCCCATTTTTTGTTCATTTTTACCCGGCGCGAATGGGTTAAATAGTTGTGTCAATAAGGGAGAAGAACTAATTTCATGTGGTCCAGGTTGCCATATTTAGATTATCATATAACTTTTTAAATTGATGCAAATTTTTGGCACACAACGTTATTTGGAAGATTGTTCCATGTTTGAATAGTTCTGTTTTTGAAACTGAACTTCTTTACATTTTTCCCGCCAAATGAAATCAGGTAAGGCAGAGCCATCTAGTGTAGAAAAATTTCACAAAAAGTATAAAAATTGAGCACAGCATTTTCTCCCATTTTTTGTTCATTTTTACCCGGCGCGAATGGGTTAAATAGTTGTGTCAATAAGGGAGAAGAACTAATTTCATGTGGTCCAGGTTGCCATATTTAGATTATCATATAACTTTTTAAATTGATGCAAATTTTTGGCACACAACGTTATTTGGAAGATTGTTCCATGTTTGAATAGTTCTGTTTTTGAAACTGAACTTCTTTACATTTTTCCCGCCTTTTTTTATTTTCAACTTTTTTGCTGTGTCCTCTCGTCCTTCTTGTGTTCAAAATTATAGTCATCTTCGTCTAATTTCACCCTTCCTGTAATATTGTTGAACATCATTATCATGTCACCTCTTTTTCTTTTTTTCCAAAGTCATAAAACCTATTTTCTGTAGTCTTTCTTCGTAGCTCATATCTCTTAGAGTAGGTGCCCATCTTGTGGCTGCTCTTTGAACTCTTTCTAGTTTATCTACATCCTTTTTTAAGTGTGGACTCCATACCACTGCACCATGTTCAAGACTAGGTCTTATGGTGGCTGTAATGACCTTCTTTACTATGCCTTCGTCCATATAACCTAATGCCATTTTCATGTTGGCAATCAGCCCTTGCACTTTATGAACCTTGTCATTTATATGATCATTTGGGCATAGGTTCCTGTTTATGATTATTCCAAGGTCTTTTTCTTTATCTGCTTGGTTTAGTATTACGTCTCCTAACTTGTATTGGTATAGTGGACGATTTTTACTTTCCCCGAGCATGACTACATGGCATTTATTGATGTTAAATTCTATTTTCCATGTACAACTCCAGATGAGGTATTGGCATGAGACATCGTCTATTACAACTTTTTCTGGTAGGGGACCTTTAAAAGTTATTCTCAATGACTTTGTTTCTGTCCATTTGTTTTCATTATCTTTCTCTTAATTTATTCTTTTAATTCTTATTATCTCTATAATTTCAGAGTTTTTTCCACTGATTTTTCTTATTTTTTCTTTTATTTTCTCAGGGCTTAGGTCAGTCTCTACTGGGAAAAATGGTTCCGTAAGAACAGCCTATGTTCTTACTGGAGGCTGGTTGTTTGCAAAAAAATTTCCATGGATTCGGTTAATTTTATGGGATTGTTGAAATTCAATGTTTTTGTTTCACCAGCTAAGCTTATAATGATAACATTAGGGTTATCTTGCCTATTTACTGTTGGGTCTTCGGATGTGGTCGGTTGAGCTTCCGTGCTGTTCCTGCCGGGTTCGGGTTTTCTTGGATGCTAGGGATTTGGGTCTTGTTCGCTGTCACTATTTTCCCTCGGTCTTCTATTTGACTGGGAATCATAAATCATTTCATTTTGGGATCCAGGCTTTTCTCCTGGTTCTGGATTAAGTTCAGTGTCCATTAAAATTCTTATGTTCACTGCACTCAAAATTCAAAGTTGTTTGGATGTTCACTCCGTGAAGGTTCGGACGGTTCTTATTTACATTGTTTACGCTAAGTCTACCCATGTTGAGCGGTTGCGTTACTACGACATAAACAGGTTTACAATAGAAAATGTAAAATCTTAAGGGGTAGACTCTGTTTTTTTTTTAAAGATTGCAGTAGCAATGAGAGAAAACAAAGAGAGTATTTTCTTTTTTGGAGACTAGTTAAAGAATTGACCTACCGGCCCCCAATGGCAAAAATGCTTGCCACATCTACTGTAATTTTAGCTTATCAATTACCCTTATACAAAGATGTCTCTGCAAATGCTTTGTCATCTAGGAGTCAATTATTATCCTAAATGATAATTATAATATCGAAAACATCAATATCATTAGAAAAAATCAGGGAGTGGGAAAATCGGTCATTCGGGCTTACTCATTGACTTAGAAGATTAGGAAATAGACGGTAGAAACAAATGACAGCACCCGAAAAACAGAACAAATAATATATATATATATATATATATATATATATATATATATATATATATATATATATATATATATATATATATGTGTGTGTGTGTGTGTGTGTGTGTGTGTGTGTGTGTGTGTGTGTGTGTGTGTGTGTGTGTGTGTGTGTGTGTGTATGTGTGTGTGTTCTTAAATAGATGTGTCAATAAGGGAGAAGAACTAATTTCATGTGGTCCAGGTTGCCATATTTAGATTATCATATAACTTTTTAAATTGATGCAAATTTTTGGCACACAACGTTATTTGGAAGATTGTTCCATGTTTGAATAGTTCTGTTTTTGAAACTGAACTTCTTTACATTTTTCCCGCCTTTTTTTATTTTCAACTTTTTTGCTGTGTCCTCTCGTCCTTCTTGTGTTCAAAATTATAGTCATCTTCGTCTAATTTCACCCTTCCTGTAATATTGTTGAACATCATTATCATGTCACCTCTTTTTCTTTTTTTTTCCAAAGTCATAAAACCTATTTTCTGTAGTCTTTCTTCGTAGCTCATATCTCTTAGAGTAGGTGCCCATCTTGTGGCTGCTCTTTGAACTCTTTCTAGTTTATCTACATCCTTTTTTAAGTGTGGACTCCATACCACTGCACCATGTTCAAGACTAGGTCTTATGGTGGCTGTAATGACCTTCTTTACTATGCCTTCGTTCATATAAACTAATGCCATTTTCATGTTGGCAATCAGCCCTTGCACTTTATGAACCTTGTCATTTATATGATCATTTGGGCATAGGTTCCTGTTTATGATTATTCCAAGGTCTTTTTCTTTATCTGCTTGGTTTAGTATTACGTCTCCTAACTTGTATTGGTATAGTGGACGATTTTTACTTTCCCCGAGCATGACTACATGGCATTTATTGATGTTAAATTATATTTTCCATGTACAACTCCAGATGAGGTATTGGCATGAGACATCGTCTATTACACTTTTTTGCAATTTCGCGTTGTCTGCAAACATTATTCAGATAACTACCTAGGCTTATGTTTGACCCTAAATCATTTATGAAAACAGTAAACATAATCGGCGCCAAGACCGATCCTTGAGATACTCTGGTACTTACTCGTCGCCATGTAGAGTGCTTTCCTGTAATTACGGTGTGTGTACGTATGTGTATAAATAGATATATATGTATATATATACATACACATGCGTGTGCATGCATGTATATATATGGATTCATATATACAATATAGATATATGTAAGTATAATTATGTATATATATATATATATATATATATATATATATATATATATATATATATATATATATATATATATAGGAAGATAGATAGATAGATAGAGAGAGAAATAAATGAATGAAATATATGAATAATGGTAATAATAATTATAAAAGATGGGAGCCATATTTTCTGACATTAGGGAGGGGGAAACAGTTAGTTAAGGAACTTGCAGTAAACAATTTGGGGTTAATGAAACTTAGAACCATAATGTTTCTGACTTACAATTTCTGATCTGTACATATTTACGTAAATAAGTTACAAGCTGCATGGCCGTTTAATATAATCTTTATTGTTTTTTTCCACAGAAACCAAAATACCTAAGCGTATATATTATTAACAGATGAGGGAATAAGCAGAGATGAAAATTCTTCTTTTCAAAGAATGCAAGATACTATAGGAGCCTGAATATCAAAAGATGTCACTATAGAATGGGAAAAGATTATACAAACTTTTTTTCTTTTTCTTTATTCACAGGATTATTCTATATTATATACAGAATGCATGATCTTCAGTGCCTAATGTTTTGACATAACGCACACTATCTATACCATTCTCCAATTACAAAAGACTAAATATAACAACTTCAGCTTTAGAAGCTGGAAAATAGCTATGCTTAATACTTAACTTAACACATTCACAGAAAACATTTGAGGAAGCAGAGTAACACATCCAGAGGAAAATGATACATTACCTAATGTGTGTATGAACACACGTACGTGTAAATATATATATATCAATAAAAAATCAAAGTCTACTAAATCATGAATTGATAAAGCAGCTGATCCGGTCGATGACGTAGGTCACAAGAGGAGTCACCATGTCACTGATAGACACGGCGGTGGAGTAGGTGGCGTCGACTGCCACCAGGGACCAGCCGTGTGCGGTTTCCACCACCCTTGTGAAGGTCGGCTTCCACGATTCTAGCGTGCTGTCCAGCTATTGCAAAGAAGGGCAATCTTTTTATTGTGAAATTTAGTCTTTCTCATTGTGATATACACTCACTGTACATATAAATGGCAGTCGATTTAACTATGTCTGAGATCAGCCATAATAATCAAATAACAGTTCAAGAATAAAATCTAGATTTTTCAGTGAAGTGAGTACCTGCTGTCCTATCGTCACTGCAGAGACTGGTGAGCGGTTGTCGACGCGATGTGTTGCACAGCTGGGCTTTGGAACACTCTGGCAGTCGTGGCACCATAGGCTGGAGGTATAGATCTTTTATATATATTGTTTATTCTTTCCAAAATTCTTTCTTATAAACTTGCATCATATATGGACAAAAATTATATTCATTTTACACAATTACATAAAATGAGCATCACACCACAAATACACCATTAACTCCACCCCTCCACACACACACACACACACACACACACACACACACACACACAAACATACCTACTGACAATATCCCCGTATTTGACCATCGTTAGTACATCATTATTAGTCTGCAACTTTTCGGCAGACATCGCTCGCGTCACCTTGCGACACAGCGGGCATTCCACCTTGCCTCCGCGCAGCAGTTGATGAATGCACTCCTTACAGAAGGTATGATGGCAGGAAAGGTACTTTGGGGGACGCTTCTCACAGAATTCGTCATAGCACACCGAACACGCCTTCAAAAGGGATGAACGTGAAAGATGTTGCTACTGAATGGCAGCGGGGAAGACGAGACACAGGAATATATAAAATATCTTCAAGCTGAAGATAACAATGATCGAAGTATTTTTTTTTTTTATTGAGGAACTAAAAGATCAAGATAACCGTAAAGACCATATTATCAGCAATCGAAATATCTATAAATCATCTCATGACTTTTTTGTCTCATAATTCAATAAACAAAGCTTTCAATGTCCAACATCAATCTACATATACCGACTTGGGTGAAATGCATAAGGAACAAGGTCTATACTTCTACAAACCTAAGAAAGGATGAAAGAAAGGAAAGTGTGGTAGAGGGAGGAGGTTGTCGAGGGAAGAATGGCATCACTCACAGGAAGGAGGGAGTGTGGGTTCTCTGCAAGCTTGGCATAATTAGGCGTTGGGGCGTCCTCGGGCAAGCTTGGGTAGAGGGACATCCTTCACTGCGAACTTGTTCTCGTGCAGACTGAGGTACGCTGAAACTGGTAAAATAGTTTAAATTAATCGGGGGAATAGCAGTATGCTGAACACAAACTTAAAAACAGAAACTCCTTTTTATCTCTTTATGCCATACTAATACACATACGATATAAGCTTCAGATAACTGAGTACAAGTACATCTGAACACTAAATAAATGGAAATAAGGATATTAGCAAAACGTCTTAAATACTAATACCCTAATCATTCCATAGGTTTTAACGCTTGGGAACGTATATAACCACCAACTGATTGAACATTAATATATACGACAATTTCAGCAGAAATAATTTCTCTGTTCTTCACACTTTTTCATTTGTGATTTTTTTTTTCATTATTCAAAAATGATATTAACAAATTACAAGTAAATACACCTCCCACACCTCTCCCTAAAATAGAAGACATGAAACTATAGTAAAACTGCCGTAAACCAGAGAGAGTGGCACAGCGCATCCTGTTTTGGCAACATACATCATATTACTGCGTCGTATGCTGCTAGTCTTTCGTTAAAGCAAAAACTAGACGTTTTCAGTAATTGTACTTTTACTACCTAAACCGTGAAAATACAGTTATATTACTTCTTTGAGCAGAACCATTTCGTAAAATCTAAATTAATTAATTAGAGCTAATTGGTAAGATTAAAGGCTATTGGTGACGAGAAGAAAAGTAATGATAATGATGATTATAAAACAAGTAACAAATTCAACAGAATACTGCAACCGTAATGATACCACCACCACAATCAATATACTTTATCGTAATGTTTTAGCAACATGATGACTGATAATAACGAGCGACAGATCATGGATGATGTTTGTAATCATACCTTTTCTACATTTGTCGCAATTAACACTGTTTATCGAGAAACTTCAGGGAAATTTTTAAAGATATTGATACCAGAATGTCTCTGCGTGCTCTCTCTCTCTCTCTCTCTCTCTCTCTCTCTCTCTCTCTCTCTCTCTCTCTCTCTATATATATATATATATATATATATATATATATGCGTGTGTGTGTGTGTGTGATTGCATACATATACAAACATGCATACATTCATGCATACACACACACACACACACATATAAAATCATCATTAACTTTATGAACATTATCATTATAACTAATCCTATTATTATAAGAAAGAAGGCCGATTCAGGTTAACATGAATTTTAGCGCAAATTAATGTTATTCGTTTCATAGGAACTGTCAATAAAACCTGTTTCCATTCAGTCTTCCTTCAGTTTTTGATTTACGCTAAGTTCCCACGAACGAACTGGAAACGTCTGCAGTCGTGTTGTTGTTGTTAATTATTATCATCATTTTTATTATCATGATTATCAGCAGCAGTAGTCTAATGTCACAAGCATGTTCTAGATTAAGATATAAATAGAGGCTCTAGCATGGCTACAAGGTGAATGTGGTGTCCTTTCCACGTAGCTCGGATGTTGGGCAACGTCCTGGAACGGTGAGTGTAATAAAATAAATCACAAACGCATGCTATTTATTGGTAGTATCTAGGGCCTTTTCCATTATTTTTTTTTTAGATGAAAGACTAAAGCGGGTTTACTTCATTGACGTAATCAAAGTTATCACACGAACACAATACCCTTCTAGCAGTAATTTGTAATGGGGTAGTAATAGTGGCTATATCAATAACTTCATAAAAGAGGGAGAATGGCTAGTCATTTCTAGTTTTTTTTTCAGAAAACAAAAACAAAACAACAATCAAACAGTAAAGAAATGTTGATTTGTTGCCTCTAGTTCTCGCTTCACCGATTTGTTCTACTGTGCCTGCAAGGAACTAGATAATCAAGCCTTAACTCTCTCGGTGCAAGAGTATTCGCCGAGGGTCGTACAAAAACGTAGTCCAGTGAGTCAATGCAGCGCAGAGTGCAATGTAATGAATGAATGCAGTGTGCATGTTCTCGGTTAATTAATAAATGACATGTAGATATGACTATAACATAATGCCATTTTCTTTTACCTTAAAAAACCATCATCAGTAACTGCAGTAGTAGGGATACGTATACGATCAAAAATAGGAATAATAGTAGTGGTAGTATTACTAGTAAAACAAAAATTAGAAGTATTAATAGAAGCAGTAGTGAACGAAGAAGATAATGAAGTAAAGTGATGAATGATGATGGAAAAAAGAACAAAATAAGGAGCAGAAAATAAAGGAGGGAATTATCCCCTAACAATTTTTGTTAAACAATATAATACAATCTTATACTGATACTGTTATCGTGCGCCTACTCTACGTACAGGTATGACTAACAACTTGAGAATTTGGGTTATCAAAGAAAACGTATACTACTACCTTAGGAGAAACTACTAACAACGACAATTTTCAACTACATTAATTTTTCACACATTCCCTTCATAAGGACGTGCAGTGAATTGAAAATCATGAAAATCATTTGTTCTTAATATTAATGCATATCAACACTGGGCTGGAGAAACTTTCAATTGGACAGACTTTGTTGATGACGGTTGCAAACGTAACGATATATGGTCGACATTGAACTCGTTTATCAAAAACTACTGACAAATATGCAGTCAGACTCATGCTTAAACATATATTATATTCAATAAGAGTCGAGGTTTAACGTTGCTCTGCAAAAAGGTATGTTATGCTGTCTCTACTGCGCTCTTACTATTTCACTCATTTACCGATTTCTATAAGTAGAAGTTGCTTACCTGTTGCAATATGAAATCTTTGTATCACACCCACTGTTCAAGAGTTGCAAAGACCAACTCAACCCAAGGGCGTCGAAAGACACGTTACACTATACATGACAAATACGTAACTGACGGAAACTGGCGACATG